GAAATGACATCACTGAACAGCTGAAGCAATAACAGTAGCTGCCAACCTCTAGATAGCTTATATTAAAAAAAAAAAAAAAAAAAAAAAAAAGTAAATCCCCTCATGCCTGTAATCCTAACACTCTGGGAGGCTGAGCACGGAGGATCACTTGAGTGCAGGAGTTCAAGACCAGCCTGGGAAACAGTGAGACCCTGTCTCTAAAAATAAAAAAAAGTTAAATATTAAAAAAAGAAAGAAAGGCCGGGCGCAGTGGCTCAAGCCTGCAATCCCAGCACTTTGGGAGGCCGAGGCAGGTGGATCACAAGGTCAAGAGATCGAGACCATCCTGGTCAACATGGTGAAACCCCGTCTCTACTAAAAATACAAAAAATTAGCTGGGCATGGTGGCGCGTGCCTTTAATCTCAGCTAAGCAGGAGGCTGAGGCAGGACAATTGCCTGAACCCAGGAGGTGGAGGTTGCGGTGAGCCGAGATCACGCCATTGCACTCCAGCATGGGTAACAAGAGCGAAACTCTGTCTCAAAAAAAAAAAAAAAGAAAGAAAGAAAAAGAAAAAGAAAATCTCAATGTGTTTCAGCCATTGTCAGACTTTCTCTTAGAGTCAATGTATTTCTAACATACAGTGAGCATTTCCCAAGGAGTTGGAATATAAATAGGCATTATTTGAAAAGAGGTTTTTGCTCAAAAATGGGTCAAATATAGATAAATAAAAATGTGTAAAAATAAATTTTAGGTGGCCAGGCACAGTGGCTCATGCCTATAATCCAAGCACTTTGGGAGGCGCAGATGGGCAGATCATGAGGTCAGGAAATAGAGACCATCCAGGCCAACATGGTGAAACCCCTTCTCTACTAAAAATACAAAAATTAGCCAGGTATGGTGGTATGCACCTGTAGTCCAAAAGGTGGAGGTTGCAATGAGCCAAAATCACATCACTGCATTCCCTCCAGCCTGGAGACAGAGCAAGACTCTGTCTCCAAAAAAAAAAAAAAAAAAAAAAAAGGGGATTTTTTTTTTTAGGGCCAGTTATGGTGGCTCACGCCTGTAATCCCAACACTTTGGGAGGCCAAGGCAGATGGATCACCTGAGGTCAGGAGTTCGCGACCAGTCTGGCCAACATGGTGAAACTCTGTTTCTACAAAAATATAAAAATTAGCTGGGCATGGAGGCTCCCACCTGTAATCTCAGCTACTTGGGAGGCTGAAGCAGGGGAATCGCTTGAATCCAGGAGGCAGAGGTTGCAGTGAGCTAAGATTGTGCCACTGCACTTCAGCCTGAGTGACAGAGCAAAACTCTATCTCAAAAAATAAAGAGAATAATGCTGCTTTGTAGACTTAAAAATATACACAAAGAAAGGGAGATGGGTAGAGCTAAACTACTCTAAAGACCCTGTCTTATTTAGCAAGAGAGTAAAGGACCAATTACCATTAGATTCTGTTAAGTTACAAATATACATTCATATTTGTAACTTATCAGGGCAGTCAATAAAGGAAGAGTAAAAGAATATAACTTCTACGCTAACAGTGAAGAAGTCAATAGAATACGTAACTAAATTAAAGAAAAAAGAGAATTCTGATAATAGCAAACTAGGCAATTTTAATCAATTTTCCCAATAAACAACAAAAAAAGCTGACCAAAAAAAATTTATTTAAGGCACTAAAGAGCTACCAAGGCAGTGAAGGATGACATACCCAAGATCCAGGGGGAGAAGGTAAAATAGAGATGAACAATGCCTAGAACTTGTAGCTGGGACAGGCTGCAGCTGAAAACCAGGGGTTAAGGTGATCACACCTGCTGCCCTGCTTGCTTCGGTCGCTTGCTTTATTCTTTTTAACCTTTTTCTTTGAAGCTGAACAGACTTTCTTTCTGTTGCCCAGGCTACTGTGCAGTGGGGCCATCTCGGCTCACTGCAACCTCTGCCTCCCAGGTTCAAGAAATTCTCCTGCTTCAGGCTCCTCAGTAGCTGGGATTACAGGCACCTGCCACCATGCCTGCCTAATTTTTTTTGTATTTTTAGTAGAGACAAAGTTTCACTATGTTGGCCAGGTTGGTTTTGAACTCCTGACCTCAAGTGATCCATGCCTGCCTCACCCTCCCAAAGTGCTAGGAGTACAGGCATGAGCCCAGGCCAGGCGTGAACACTAAAACTTAACCTTCATTGGCTACTTTATAGATAACATTCATAGGTCACCACGGCAATGGACACTTTAGTTATTTTTCAGGAACTTGGGCTAACTCCTGTCCAGTTCGAACTGGTGGAGACCACCAACACTTCAATTAGGCCTGTGAAGGTGCCAAAAAGGATCTTTTGATGCCTGAGGGCCAAAAACTCCACCCTCTGATCATGTTAATGCCTCTATTTTCTGTATATGTGTCCTATGAAATGCCATAAACCCGGACTACACTTGTGCACAGTGAATGCTACTTTATTTTCTCCACTGCCAATCACCTTTCCCCACACCTTAAACCACCCCACTTCCCTAACCCACAAATATCCCTCAGGCTTATCTTTTAGGAGGCAGATTTGAGACCTGTTCTCCCACCTCCTCCCTCAGTGGCCTTGCAAATAAGTCTCTTCTCTTTTGCACAACCTGTGTCACAGTGATTGATTTACCATGCATGGACAGAATGGACCTAGATCTGGGTGGTAACATACCCACATCAGGAACTTCACCATAAAGATACAAAAAGAAGAGATGGAACAGCAGGGCCCCTCACAAAGTATACAAGAAAAGATTTCAGAAAACACACACAAGCCAAGTTTGCTTGAGAGACATTGAATGAAGGAGTGAGACTGTCAGAAAACTGAAACAGAAAACATTATAGTATAGAAAAGGGGAAGAGGGGAGCAGGAGGGAACCCAGGACGTTTCAGTTTTTAAGAAGCACTTACAGGCTCAAAGGCTTTTGAAACATACCTTGCACTGGCCCCTTCTCTCCAGTTCCCCTGCCTCCTGCACAGGGTCCCTGACTCGTGACTCTCTCTTGTAGTCCACTCTCAGCACTGCAGCAATAGCAATTTTTTTTTTTTTTTTTTTTTTTTTGAGACGGAATTTCGCCCTTGTTACTCAGGCTGGAGTGCAATGGCGCGATCTCGGCTCACCGCAGCCTCCACCTCCTGGGTTCAGGCAATTCTCCTGCCTCAGCCTCCTGAGTAGCTGGGATTACAGGCACGCGCCACCATGCCCAGCTAATTTTTTGCACTTTTAGTAGAGACGGGGTTTCACCATGTTGACCAGGATGGTCTCGATCTCTCGACGTCGTGATCCACCCGCCTCGGCCTCCCAAAGTGCTGGGATGACAGGCTTGAGCCACCGCGCCCGGCTAGCAATAGCAATTATAACCCAAAACCACAGCGATGGACAGCACTGGTCTGAACAAAATGAAGCTATGACAGGGGGATTTGCTCCTCACTAAAATCTCACTTCCTCTGCCAAAGGCAACTTTTCCCCCCAGGTTCCGCACTAGATCGAGCCAATTTGTCAGCCTCAGCTCTCCCAGTCCCCTGAAAGGGCTCAATTACTTCTCTTCGGCAAACACTTTTCCCAGAGACATCTTATCTATCCTGGTTTACTTAAGTATGATTCTCTCTCTTTTTTTTTTTGAGATGGAGTCTCTCTCTGTTGCCCAGGCTGGAGTGCAATGGCACGATCTCGGCTGACCTCGACCTCGACCTCCACTCCACCTCCAGGGTTCAAGTGGTTTTCCTGCCTCAGCCTTCCAAGTAGCTGGTATTACAGGGGTATGCCACCACGCTCAGCTAATTTTTGTAGAGATGAGGTTTCACCATGTTGGACAGGCTGGTCTCGAACTCATAACTTCAGGTGATCTGCCTGCCTCAGACTCCCAAAGTGCTGGGTTTACAGGCATGAGCCACCAAGTCCTGCCTGATTCTTTCATTTGGCCATGCGCTTATTTGTTTTTTTCTTTTTTCTTTTTTTTTTTTTTTTTGAGACAGAGTTTCGCTCTTGTTACCCAGGCTGGAGTGCAATGGCGCGATCTTGGCTCACCGCAACCTCCGCCTCCTGGGTTCAGGCAATTCTCCTGCCTCAGCCTCCTGAGTAGCTGGGATTACAGGCACGCACCACCATGCCCAGCTAATTTTTTGTATTTTTTTTTTTAGTAGAGACGGGGTTTCACCATGTTGACCAGGATGGTCTCGATCTTTTGACCTCGTGATCCACCCGCCTCGGCCTCCCAAAGTGCTGGGATTACAGGCTTGCCACCGCGCCCGGCTTCTAGATTCTTTTTTTTTTTTTTTTTTTTTTGAGATGGAGTTTTGCTCTTGTTACCCAGGCCGGAGTGCAATGGCGCGATCTCGGCTCACCGCAACCTCCGCCTCTTGAGTTCAGGCAATTCTCCTGCCTCAGCTTCCTGAGTAGCTGGGATTATAGGCACGTGCCCCCATGCCCAGCTAATTTTTTTGTATTTTTAGTAGAGATGGGGTTTCACCATATTGACCAGGATGGTCTCGATCTCTTGACCTCGTGATCCACCCGCCTCGGCCTCCCAAAGTGCTGGGATTACAGGCGTGAGCCACCGCGCCTGGCCTTTTCTTTCTTTGAAACTGAAGGCCACAGTAGCTAAAGGCCATAACATCAAACACTAAAACTTAACCTTCGCTGGCTACTTTGTAGATAACATTCACAGCTCACCATGAATGCAGCTGCAGTCAATTAATAGGTAAGAAGTTACCACTATATTACATGGTTATATTAGGGACTGTTTCTGCCTACTACAGGCTGGGGAGAAACCTTCGCTGGCTACTTTGCAGATAACATTCACAGCTCACCATGAATGCAGCTGCAGTCAACTAACAGGTAAGAAGTTACCACTACATTACATGGTTATATTAGGGGCTATTTCTGCCTACTACAGGCTGGGGAGGAACACGGGAGGAATGTAACAGCACAAGTCATAATAAACCTTATGTATAGGCTTAATATAAAAGAAAAGCCTAGAATGAACTCAGCAGAAATATGTTGTTCTGAGCTAATACTACCTGGCTTTAGAGGGAAACACTCTTCCAAAAGTCATTCGAATCCATAAATATAAGAACTTTCTGGCAACGCATCTGAAAGAAGGAAAAAAAGGATATACATATTTTAAAATTCCATTGGGCTTACACCATCACTTTTCTGGAAAGTAAAGGAAGGCTTTAAGGTCTCAGGCAGAGGGACGTTAGTATGAGTCAAAAGGTGGTATCACAGCTAATCTTGCATCGAACAGGGCATAGGATGGGTAGATTTATGAAGCTAAAATCAAGCAGATTTTTAAAAAAATATTTTTTCAATGCAAATTGTCAATGAAGAGATAAAAACTTCAAAACTGAGGTACAGGGTGTACATCAAGTTATTTTGTTCATATTATTCTTCCTGCCAACAATGCCTGGCAAATGCCCACTAGTCCTGTACCATCTCCAATGTAAACAAAGTAGCAGCTGTGTACTCTCAGCACTCTGTTCAAACCCCTCTTGTAATGTTATGACACCATATCACAGCGATTAGCTCACAGGGTGTCTGTCATTCCCTCTGCACTGTGAGACCCTGAAAGCAGAAACTGGTGCTTTGTGGTACATCTAGTATCTAGCACAGTGCCTGGCATACACAGAAAGGCGGCTTGTCTTATATTATATAGTTAATCCCTGAGCTCAACTAAAACACACCTTCTCCTGCCCTTTATCTGGTTTATTCTTACATTATCCTTCAGGACTCAGCTTAAACTCTACTTCCTCCAGAGAGTAATTGCTGCCTATACTAGTGTGGCTGTTCTTGACATATATGCCTGTGGTATCACATCCTTCTCCTCTCATTGCACTAATCTCACTTTATTATTATGGGCTGACAGTCTATCAAGCCTACCTGATTTTAAACTTTCATGAAGTCATAGACCAAGATTGTCTTATTCACCTTACATATTCAGCATCTAGCATAACACCTGACATGGTAGGCACCTGATAAATTTGTCGTTGTTGTTTTGAGATGGAGCCTTACTCTCACTCAGGCTGGAGTCCAGTGGAGCAATCTTGGCTCACTGCAACCTCGTCCTCCCAGGTTCAAGCGATTCTCGTGCCTCAGCCTTCTGAGGAGCTGGGATTACAGGCGTGCGCCACCACATCCAGGTAATTTTTTGTATTTTTCATGCAGACAAGGTCTCAAACTCCTGAACTCAGGTGATCTGCCAATCTTGGCCTCCCAAAGTGTTGGCATTACAGGTGTAAGCCACCATGCCTGGCCTGATAAATTTTTGAATAAAGAAATGGATGTCTTTAATATACCTAATCAAGAGTAGCAGAAGTACTACAGCTCTTCTAGAATTCACCAGAAAATCCAAGAGGGAAAAATTAAGAGTAGTTCCTTCTTTCTTGGACCACGTTTAGACTTTTCCTAAAAGTCTAAGAATCTTGACAGCTTCATATTGCAGGGCACAAGTGGAGAAATGAAAACACTCAATGACAGATTTTATGTCTGCAGATTTCTGAGTATCTTCTTCATCTGCACATTCTACTATATAGAACAGGCATCAAGATCTCCAACTAACTGAGATGGGATAATAAGAACTATTCCCTCATTTTAACCAAGAAGGGAGAATAAGAGAAAAGTACCCATAGACTGGTGGCCACTCATAAGCTCACCTGATGTGCAATTCTCTTAACCGGCCCTGTCGGGTACAAGGATGTGTGCCACGATACTGCACTAGATGACTGGTACTAGGTAACTCCCTCCGGATCCCCAAGGATGCAGAAGACTTCTTGTTGGACAGTGTCTTTGGAGAATAAGGTTTCTTAACTGCACCATCCCTAAAATATCTTAAATTTGAAGAAGGAAGAGGCAAGGAGAGAATAAAGTTATCTCTGCATGTGATACAAATACTTTTAATATACAAGCAAAATTAAACAAATAAGCTCACTAAGACTGACAATATCAAGGTTTCAAGAATAATAGGCAGTCCAATCTGACAGAAATATTGGCCAACGACTGGAGGTGGGTACTGCTGGGTCAGCTCTAGGCAGGAACTATAGAGCTGGAGGGTACCCCCTGGAGTCATTAGGCTTAACATAGTTTTCTTTTGTTTGAGACATGTTCTCGCTGTTGCCCAGGCTGGAATGCTGCTCACTGCAGCCTTGACCTCCCAGGCTCTTGTGATCCTCCCATCTCAGCCTCCCAAGCAACTAGGACCACAGACGCATGCCAGTGAGACCTTGTCTCAAAAAAAACAACACGGTGAGACCATGTCTCTTAAAAAAAAAACACATTGAGACCTTGTCTCTTAATTTTTTTTTAAGAGACAAGGTCTCACTGTGTTGTTTTTTTAAGAGATAAGGTCTCACTGTGTTGCCCAGGCTGGTGTTGAACTCCTGGGATTAAGGAATCCTCCCACCACAGCCTCCTAAGTAGCTGAGACTACAGGTGTACAACACCATGATCAGCTAATTTTTCATTTTTTTGAGACAAAGTCTTACACTATGGCCCAGGCTGGAGTACAGTGGCACAATCTCTGTCATTGCAATCTCCCAGGTTCAAGTGATTCTCTCGCCTCCGCCTTCCTAGTAGCTGGGATTACAGGCACCCACCACTGAGCCTGGCTAGGTTTTGTATTTTTAGTAGAGATAGGGTTTCACCATATTGGCCAGGCTGGTCTTGAATTCCTGACCCCAGGTGATCCACCCACCTCAGCCTCCCAAAGTGCTGGGATTACAGCCTTGAGCCAGTGAGCCCGGCCAACTTACTTTTTTTTTTTTTTTTTTTTTTTTAGAGACGGGGTCTCATTATATTGCCTAGGTTAGTCTCAAACTCCTGGGCTCAAGTAATCCTCCTGCCTCAGACTCCCAAAGTGGTAGTATTACAGACATGCACCACTGTACCTGGCCTGATCTCATTTTTTTTTTTTTTTTTTTCTGAGACGGAGTTTCGCTCTTGTTACCCAGGCTGGAGTGCAATGGCGCAATCTCGGCTCACCGCAACCTCCGCCTCCTGGGTTCAGGCAATTCTCCTGCCTCAGCCTCCTGAGTAGCTGGGATTACAGGCACATGCCACCATGCCCAGCTAATTTTTTGTATTTTTAGTAGAGACGGGGTTTCACCATGTTAACCAGGATGGTCTCGATCTCTTGACCTCGTGATCCACCCGCCTCAGCCTCCCAAAGTGCTGGGATTACAGGCTTGAGCCACCGCACCCGGCCCTGATCTCATTCTTAATCTCTTGCTTCAGAGTATCTGCACTGAGGCTAAAGCACATATATGTATACATAAATATACATACAAGCACACACACCCACAGTTTATTTTTTAAAACTTATTTTTTGTTTGTTTTCTTGAAACAGGGTCTTGCTATGTTGCCTAGGCTGGTCTTGAACTCCTGGGCTCAAACAATCCTCCCACCTAAGCCTCCCAAAATGCTGGGATTACAGGTGTGAGCTACCACGCTTAAGTCTCCTAGATTTTATTTTTTAGAGCAATTTGAAGTTTACTGCAAAACTGAGAAGAACATAGAGTTACCACATACCCCTTTCTTTACACACACGCACAGCTATATATGCAAAAATGACTATGTTTACAGAAATAAAAGTCAAGGTTAAACATATTTGCAGGGTTGGGGGTAACTATAAACAGTAAGGTAGAAGCATTAATCACAACAGCCAAAAGTTAGAAGCAATCTAATTTTTTTTTTTTTTTTAAACACAGGCTCTTGGCTGGGTGCAGTGGCTCACGCCTGTAATCCCAGCACTTTGGGAGGCAAAGGTGGGCGGATCACGAGGTCAGGAGATTGAGACCATCCTGGCCAACATGGTGAAACCCTGTCTCTACTAAAAACACAAAAATTAGCTGGGAGTGGTGGTGTACACCTGTAGTTCCAGCTACTCAGGAGGCTGAAGCAGGAGACTCACTCGAATTCAGAAAGTAGAGGTTGTAGTGAGCTGAGATTGTGCCACTGCACTCCTGGCAACAGAGCAAGACGCTGTCTTGAAAAAAAAGGCAGGCTCTCAGTCTGTTATCCAGTCTGGAGTGCAGTGGTGTGATCAGGGCTCACCACGGACTTGACATCCCAAACTCAGGTGATCCTTCCACCTCAGCCTCCCAAGTAGCTGGGACTATAGCCACGTACCACAAAGCTAATTTTTAGCTAATTTTGGTTATTTATTTTTTTTTTTTTGTAGAGATGGTTTTGCCTTGATGCTCAGAGTAGTCTTCAACTCCTGGGCTCAAGCAATCCACCAGCCTCGGCTTTCTAAAGTGCTGGAATTGCAGGCATGAGCCACAGCGCCCAGCTCTAAAGGTTTATCAACGGATGAATGAATAAACAAAATGTGGTATAGTCATGAATGAAATAGCACCATTCACCCATAAAAAAGAATGAATATATACAACAACATGGATGAACTCTGTAAACATGTTAGGTGAAATAAGCCAAACACAAAAGGAGTTTGAAATAAGGCCAGGTATGGTGGCTCACGCCTGCAATCCCAACACTTTGGGAAATCAAGGAGTTTGAGACCAGGCTGTGCAACATGGTGAGACCCTGTTTCTACAATTAAAAAAAAAAAAAAAAAAAAATCAGCCAGTGATTGTGGCATGAACATGTAGTCCCAACTATATGACAGGCTGAAACAGGAGGATCACTTGAGCAACAGGATGTTGAGGTTGAAACGAGCTGTGTTCCTATCACTGCACTCCCGTGTGGACAGTGGAGAACAAAAAGGAGAAATATTACATAATTCCATTTCTATGAGGTAGTTATAATGGGTTAATTCCCAGAAACAAAAAGTAGAAGAGAGTTTACCAGAGGCTGGGAGAAAAGAGGAACGGGGCATAACTGTTTGATGAGTATAGAGTTTCTGTTAGACACGATTTTAAAAGGTGGTGATGGGTGCAAAACACTGTGAATGTACTTAATATGCCACTGATCACACATTTAAAAACAGTTAAAATGAGAAAATTTATGTTTTATATATTTTACAAAAAAAAATATGATCTGAGGTCGGACATGGTGGCTCACACCTATAATCCTAGCACTCTGGGAGGCCAAGGCCGGTGGATCACCTGAGGTCAGGAGTTCAAGACCAGCCTGGCCAACATAGCAAAACCCCATCTCTACTAAAATATTTTTAAAATCAGCTGGGCATGGTGGTGTGCACCAGTAATCCTACCTACTCGGGAGGCTGAGGCAGGAGAATCGCTTGAGCCTAGGAGGTGGAGGATGCAGTGAGCCAAGATTGCATCACTATACTACATCCTGGGCGACAGTGCAAGACTCCATCTCAAAAAAAAGAGGAAGCCGGGCGCGGTGGATCAAGCCTGTAATCCTAGCACTTTGGGAGGCTGAGGCGGGTGGATCACGAGGTCGACAGATCGAGACCATCCTGGTCAACATGGTGAAACCCCGTCTCTACTAAAAATACAAAAAATTAGCTGGGCATGGTGGCGCATGCCTGTAATCCCAGCTACTCAGGAGGCTGAGGCAGGAGAATTGCCTGAACCCAGGAGGTGGAGGTTGCGGTGAGCCGAGATCGCGCCATTGCACTCCAGCCTGGGTAACAAGAGCGAAACTCCGTCTCAAAGAAAAAAAAAAAAAAAAAAAAAAAAAGAGGAAAAGGGGAAGGAGAAGGAGAGACAAATGCCTAATACATTCAGGGCTTAAAACATAGATGAGCCGGGCGCGGTGGCTCAAGCCTGTAATCCCAGCACTTTGGGAGGCCGAGGCGGGTGGATCACGAGGTCGAGAGATCGAGACCATCCTGGTCAACGTGGTGAAACCCCGTCTCTACTAAAAATACAAAAAATTAGCTGGGCATGGTGGCGCGTGCCTGTAGTCCCAGCTACTCAGGAGGCTGAGGCAGGAGAATTGCTTGAACCCAAGAGGCGGAGGTTGCGGTGAGCCGAGATCGTGCCATTGCACTCCAGCCTGGGTAACAAGAGCAACACTCTGTCTCCAAAAAAAAAAAAAAAAAACAAAACCATAGATGATAGGTTGACAGGTGCAGCAAACCACCATGGCATATGTATATTTATGTAACAAATCTCCAGGTTCAGCACGTGTATCCCAGAATTTAAAGCAAAATTTTAAAAAATTTAAAAACAAAAAAAAAAGATCTGAGGCCAGGCATGGTGGCTCACACCTGTTTTGCCAGCACTTTGGGAGGCCGAGGTGGGTGAATAACCTGAAGTTAGGAGTTTGAGACCAGCCTGACCAACATGATGAAATGCCATCTCTACTAAAAATACAAAATTAGCCAGGCATGGTGGCGTGAGCCTGTAATCCCAGCTACTGGGGAGGCTGAGGCAGGAGAATCCCTTGAACCCAGAAGGCAGAGGTTGCAGTGAGCCAAGACTGTGCCACTGCCCTCCAGCTTGGGCAACAGAGCGAAACTCTGTCTCAAAAAAAGGAAATATCTGAAAAAGAAGTGAGGTAGAAGATTTTTTAAAGAATTAAATAGGCTGGGCACGGTGGCTCACGCCTGTAATCCCAGCACTTTGGGGAGGCTGAGGCAGGGGGAATAACCTGAGGTCAGGAGTTGGAAATCAGCCCAACCAACATGGAGAAACCCCATCTCTACTAAAATACAAAATTGGCTGCGCATGGTGGCGAATGCCCGTAATCCCAGCTACTCGCGAGGCTTGCGGAGGAGAATTGCTTGAACCTGGGAGGTGGAGGGTGCCGTGAGCCAAGATCGTGCCATTGCACTCCAGCCTGGGTAACAAGAGTGAAACTCTGTCTAAAAAATAATAATAATAATTAAATAGAACAGCCAGAAGCAATATAAATCATAAATAAGGAAGGAGATAAAGTTAAAATTTGTTTTTATTTTTTT